GGCGATACTCTCTCTCTCTCTTAATCGAAATACTTCTGAACAACGTCATCGACCCTAATGCAATGAAATCATGTAACGTAATCGAAAAGCCGATAAAAGGAGAAGAAGAAGTGCTTATTTTTCGATAATACCTATTCCAACGATTGATGTTCTTTCTTCTTCTTCTTATTCTTCTTCTTCTTCTTTATTGTCATCAGAAATAGTAAATCAAATTGTGTAATATTTGATTTTTTTTTTTGCTTTTGTAATATTCAATGATACATTTATACAAATATTATCCTTTCATTATTGTTTAGAGATAAATAAAGAAAAATGTTCAAATAAATATTACTTATTCTTGATATAAAATTGTCATTATAAATAGTACAAATTAGTTTAACATCAAAAAAATTCTGTCTACTTTGCTGACGTATAAAAAAAATACTCAGCACAATATTTAATCTTAATCTCCGATTACAATATCAAAATACCACAAATATCTACGCACATATTTTCTGTATATATCATATTTCAAAAGGTATTAAGTCACATCAACAAAATCAATTTATTTTTACAATATCAAAAGAATCCTAAAAATAAGAAAAAAAATTCCATTTTGATTCAAAAAAAAAAAAGAAAAAAAAAAAAGCTAAAGATGAACAAAGTGTATTGTGGTACTTGAAAGAGATAACTTTTAACATTTTACCCTTTGGCATAGATAACGGGAGAGTAGTAAAGTTAACGAGTCGACGGTGTGGTTTAGGAAAGGATATACCTTAGTGCAACATCTCGCAAATGTATAAGGGTTTAGTATAGGAAGGGTTTTAAAGCTCGGACACGTAGCAGCAAGCAGCAAGCAGCAGCACATTCGTTCATTCGTTCCTTCTATAAGCGTGTTCTCTTATACGGATACGTATAACTCGCGCGGCTGGAAAATACCTCAGAAGCTGAGGCTGACTACAACCATTATTTGTTCTAGTCTCCCGAGCATCACACGGCCACCCAATTCCACCTTCTCTCTTTCTCTTTCTCTCACTCATTCATTCCCTCTCTCTTTATCTTTCTCTTTCTGTAAGCTAGCCCGCCATTCCGTTCTCTCCTCTTCGTTTCTCTTCAGATCCCAGCACAGCTCTCAGTCAGCCTCGAGCGATGTTCCGTACGCGACCCTTTCCTCATTTCCTCCCTCTCGTGTCGCCCTCTCAACTCCTCCCTCTCTCTCTCTCTCTTTCACACACACTCTCTGTTTCAATCTATCTTTCTCTATCTCCGTTTATCCTGCTAGCTTTTCCCTTCGTCTCTTCGTGCGTCTATTTATCCACCTAGCGGTATGATATTACACCCCGGGGCACACTTCGGCAACCCCCACCCTTAGAATATCAGCACGATCCCTCGGAGCCACGCCCAATACTGATCCTCCCAACCCCCGAAGAGCTCGACTACGAGCCAGTCCATTGGCCCACGCTGACTTTACGTCATCGTCCTCACCCACCCTTCCTCTGCACCTGCACCCTGCACGGCGTGTGTTGTTCATGGATACGAGTGAATACCTACTGCCCGTAAAATAGAAAGAGAGCAAGAGAGTGGTGGTTGGGGGGTGGAGGAGAAATATCAGGGAGGGTTGAACACGGTGGTGCTCTCCTCCTCCTCCTCCTCATCTCCTCTTTACTCTGGGACGACGAGAGACAGAGGCGGCAAAGAGGGTGTTGAAATTTAGGAGGCTTCATTTGGTCCATTCTTCTATCGGCCCACAGCACACCACGAACTATCGCAGATATCGCGAATATAACCGGAGCTTTATCCACCCTCTCTCTCTCTCTCTCTCTCTCTCTCTCTCTCTCTCCCTCTCTCTTCTACTTCTCGAGGAAATCTCATGCCTTTTCTAACCCATCCCCTAACCCCCAGCCATGTTTAGAGCATTCAGTAATTCCGAACGATGATATCGTCATTCCTTCCACGATAAACGATGCATATATTTACATATATGTGTTGTGTATGTGTATGTATATATAAATATCGTCGTTCATACATGAAGTGGTCGCTATGTCTCGTTTTTGTTTCCGGAATTTGGGTCAAGAGGATGACCTCGACTCAGATACTTGTGTTTCCAGTTTATAACGGATGATTTTAAAGCACGGATTTATTTTAAAATCCTTTCAAATCGATCATACATTTATTCTTATATTTACCACCACCACTATCATCACTACCATCAACTAAATAATCTGCTTTTCATTTATTTCTCCTTCTTTCATTTTTATTCCACTTACTTCAGCTTTTATCTATACATACATTTCTTATTCCAAGTTCTATCGTATATATTGGATTGGCAAGAAAGTAATTTCGATATTCTAGTGTAAAATCAAACTCAATTGTTTCTAAACTAACAGTTGTAAACAAAATTACACGGGATTTGTTTCTATAGCAACGTAAATTTTAACATTAACAAAAGAATAACGAAACAAATCTATTGGTGCAAGCCGAAATTACTTTCTTGCCAACCCAATACTATAGAAACACCGACATATAAAAAAAAGAAGGGAAAGAAAATACAGAATGTTAAAAGAAGATAGAGGAAGAGAGAGAGAGAGAGAGAGAGAGAGAGAGAGAGAGAGAGAGAGAGAAAAAAGAGTGGTGTAGCGGAAAACAAAAGTCGGGAGAGAGTATACAGAAGGCGAAATGCGTTTCTGTTGTAGTTGGGTTGAGAAGGTAAGAGGGGCGGGGGTGGTGGTGGAGGGTTTGAGAGGCTTTGATCAGAAGAAGGTAATACACATGATGCTGTGGATAAAAAACGTCTGAAATTACGACTCCTCTTTCTCCTCCTTCTCCTCCAGCTTCCTTCTCCTCTTCCACCTCTTCATCCTTCTGCTAGCTAGTAGCTCCTTCTGTTAGGGGGTAGAGGTTTAGGGTGAACGGTTGGAGTCTTGAAAGACCTAATCGTTCTGAGCGAGGCTCTTTGAGCGCAAAGTTAATAACGTGTATTTATGCATTTGCCACGTTTAATTGCCCGTACGGCTATTACCTCCACTCTGAAATACGCGCTCTTGCGTATTCAACGCTCTATGGAGGGTAGGTATTAAGCACTTCGTAAAGTACTACAAGCTGAGACTGCCAATGACACGCGATCTTGATAACCATAGAAGCGAACTAGTAGTAGCTCGTTTATATCTCAACCAACCCAACCGTCTGTCTTCACCGATAATGTTATCCCTCCAGACATTTTACCTTTAACTATTCTTTTCTTTTCTTCTTTTTCTTTTTTTTTTTTACCATTGTCGCAAACATTTGGGTAAACGTTTAACTTCAAAATAACGGGGTTAGGGTGGGGAGTGATGTTTAATGAAGAAATGTTTTTTATTTTAATTATTTCTCCTTCTGTTACTTTAACACATCTTTCTCTTTATTGATAATATTTAATCTTTCATAATCTTATATATATATATATTTAAATACTCAAGTAGTTGATTTGACTTTAAAATAACAAGGGATGTTAAAGGAATATTTTTTATTTTAATTGTTTCTCTTTCTGTTACTTTAACACACTTTTCTATTAATTAATATTTAATCTTTGATAAGTTTTTTTATATATATATATTTTTAAATACTCAAGTAGTTGATTTGACTTTAAAATAACAAGGCATGTTAAAGGAATGTTAGTTATTTTAATTAATTTAATTATTTTTCTCTTTTTCTATTACTTTAACACACGTTTCTCTTTTAATTGAATTTAATTTAATCTTCCATAACTTTTTTATAACATATATTTCTTTTTATATATTTTTAAAAACTCAAGTAGTAGACCTAACTTTAAAATAACAGGTTATGTTAAAGGAATGTTATTTATTTTAATTATTTTTCTCTTTTTCTAGTATTTTACCACACGTTCTTCTCTTAATTGAATTTAATTTAATCTTCCATAACTTTTTTATAACATATATTTCTTTTTATATATTTTCAAAAACTCAAGTAGTAGAACTAACTTTAAAATACCAAAGTATATTAAAAGAATGTTATTTATTTTAATTATTTTGGTTTTGTTGCTTTTCCAACATTTGTCTTACATTAATTAATAATATTGTCTTCCAGATATTTTACCTATCACAATTTTTTAAACATTGAATTAACTTTCAATTTAAAAAATAATTTTTAATATTTCTGAAACACAAGATAAGTTTCTTAAAGAAAAAGAAAAATTTGATTTTTATGTGATAGAAATTTTTCAAAAATCTTATTTGTTCATGAATTAATTTAATTATTATTTTTTTCAATACATTAGTATTCAATGTTTAAAGATTGTTGTTTATTGTAATAAATATTTATTAATTATTTTGATGAATCTTTCCTATAGATTGATTTTCATCGATAAATTTAAAAAAAAATTATATTACATTCGATTGCTGTAAACTGTGAACTTTGCTGTGAACGTTGCTGTAAAGAAACTCAAATATTTTAATTAGATTGTTAATTAAAACGTTGAACTTTGTATTCTCACATTTTATTACGCAAATAAGTTCATTTTAATCGATTCATTATTTATTTATTATTGCTAATTTACTGATACACCGTAATCAAAACTGTTTTGTAAGTTATTCAGCAACAAATATTTTTTACATCTTTCAATATATACATTTTTATAAAAAACAATATAAAATATAAAATTTAGGAGTGTTTTATATACAAATATTTCTAATATAATAAATAAACAATTGAATTAAAAACTTTATATTTTTAATTAAATTGTTTTTTGTGTCACACCTATACAACTAATGCCATCTAACAACGCTTTCTATAAGTACATGCATGACATGAAGAAAATAATAGCGCTGTTCTTGGAAATTAGTTTGAGGTTAAGTCACATTAACTTTAGACACTATAATTATTCAAATAATATGTTAATAAATATGTTTCATTCTATAGCTTACAAAAGTGATATATATACGCAACATATACAAAATTTAACGAGTTAATATTAATATTAATATTAACAAAAATACATAATTTTCATAGCTATATATATATATATATATGTACAGTGTTATGATAAGGATTTTAAGTATTATTTAAATAATATTATTTATTTAAAATGTCACTATTAAGAATAGTGTTGTGCAAACAACAAACAATTTTTGCATCAACTGCAAGGTAATTATTTTTTCTTTAAATCATTATTAACTTTCATAATCATTTTATTGTGTTAGTACTGTAGATGTATAATATTTAATTTAATATTTCAGAAAGCCATTGGTAAATTATGCATTGGAAAAAACAGGGTACGTTGTTCAACAATTTAAAAACAACTTCAATTCTCAGATTAAACAGTTTGTTACACAACAGTACAAAAAGCCAAAAAGATTATCAAACATTTCAACAATTTATTTGAGTACATTGGGTGCATCTGCAGTTTGTATAATTAAGAATAACATAAAACATGTGAAATGTGAGCCAATGAAACAAATGTCTAATAAAACAAAAGATGTCGGACCACAATTTAGTTGGAAAAGTTTTTTGATGTATTTGTACCCTCACGTTTGGCAATTGTTAATTGCTCTGTCGGTAAGTATCTGTATTTTGATAATAAACTCTAAATTATACTTATTAATTTGTATTTATTTAGAGTGCACTTATAGTTGCAATGTTGAATATTTGGATACCGCAGTCTGTTGGTAACATAATCAATGTGTTGACTAAAATAGTTCAAGATAAAGATGGTAATACAACAAGGAATACTTTAGAAATGCTTTTGAAACCGGCATTCGTATTGGCACGTATGTATATTGCACAAGTATGTAAATTTTGATAATACATATTAACAATAATTTCTTCATTATTCTATTCAAAATAACAACTAAATGAAAATGTACATTTTCCAGGCATTTTTTACATTCATTTATATTCACACACTTTCTCACATTGGTGAAAGAGTTGCTATGAAATTACGTCAAGATGTATTTAAATCTATAATCGTTCAAGATGTTGCATTCTTTGATAAGAATCGTTCAGGTGAAATAGTAAGTCGTTTGACTAGTGACATTCAAGATTTCAAAAGCGCCTTTAAAATTTGTATATCGCAAGGTTTAAGAAGTTCTACGCAAATTGTCGGATGCGTTATTTCTGTAATAATGGTATCACCACATTTAACAGCAGCAATGTTATTATGTTTGCCAACGGTTATATTTATTGGTACCCTCTTAGGAAGAAGCTTGCGCAATTTGTCAATTGAAGCACAAAATCAAATTGCAAAAGCTACCGCTGTCTGTGAAGAAGCCATTCAAAACATAAGAACGGTAATACTAACACAAGTACACGTTGTTATAATTTATTTGAATGGTATAATCATTTTGTATTTGTTAACATTTATTTGTATTTTATAGGTTAGAGCTTTTGCTGCTGAGAAAAGAGAAACAGAATTATTTTCAAAAGAAGTTGAACACGCTTCTAAATTATATGAAAATTTAGGATTTGGTATTGGTTTGTTTCAAGCGGGAACTAATTTATTTTTAAATAGTATATTACTTTGTACATTGTATTTTGGCGGCCATTTAATGTCAACTGGACAATTAACGTCTGGTGATCTTATGGCATTTTTAATGGCTACGCAAACTGTTCAAAGATCATTAGTACAATTATCTTTATTATTTGGAACATATGTGAGAGGGACTAGTGCTGGTGCACGAGTTTTTGAGGTTATTTATCATATCTTTACTTTTTATATACAAATACAATTAAAATGAATCAGTTAAAAATTATCATCTAAAATAATTGCAATTGTCTCATCAAATAATGAAAAGAATTTATACAGAAATTTATGTTATTTTCAATGATAATTTTTACTGATACATTTTGTATACAATGTATTTTTTCTAATTTTACATGAATTTTCTTTTCTATGCAGTATTTAAATATGCTGCCATCTCCTATGATGATTGGAGGAAAGGTAATCAATGATTACTCTATGGCTGGAAATATAGAATTTAAAAATGTTCAATTTAGTTATCCAACTCGACCGGATCGGGTTATTTTGAAAAATTTTAATTTGGATATCCCTGCCGGTAAAACAGTTGCAATTGTCGGTACAAGCGGAAATGGTAAATCTACTATTGCTGCCTTGTTAGAAAGGTAAAATTTCTTTTTTTACCAATACTTATTGTTAGATAAAAAAAAAAAAGATAAAACAAATGTTTATGTAATATAAATTTTGTTTATTTTACTTTTATTTATATTAAATTGTCAAATATTACCTTGCTGTTTTATCTAATTGAAAGAATTATTTAAAAATGGTTTATTTATTTTTTTTAATTTGGAATAGTACGATAAAATATTAATTTTTATTTATTGTAATTTTTTTGTTGCAAATGAAGAATATATATGTATGTTGTAATTTATTATTTATTAAAGTAATATTTTCAAAAAATTTCAAAAATTTCAAAAATATTTGTATTTTGTTCTTGTAAATTACAAAATACAAATATTTTTGTAATTTATAATATAATGTATATATAATAGTAAAATTATATAATATATAAATTATTATATAAAATATATATATATAATAATTTACATATTATATTAAATAATTATTCAATTATTAAATATAATTAACACTTTAATGGCCGCTCACACAACATGTGCATGATAGCCGGAACATTGGCTGTTATTTTATTTATAACTGTTTATATATAAAATTAAATTTGCTATTTTTTGTTTTATATTAATTTTTTTTTTTGTGAATGACAATAAAGTTTTTTTTTAAAATAATTCTTGAAAAATATTACCAAGAACCTGACGATGTTTGACTGTATACACATGCGGCCATTAAAGTGTTAATGTATATTATAATCAATTATTCAATTTATTTATTATATTAAAGTAATAATTCGTTGATTTTTGATGTAGATTTTACGACGTCAACGAGGGTAGCATTTCGATAGATAAATGGGACATTAGATCACTAAATTCAAGTTATTTACGTGGTTCAGTATTAGGATACATAGATCAGGAACCAATATTATTTGCAACAAGTATAATGGAAAATATAAGATATGGTAAAGAAGATGCTACTGATGATGAGGTATGAATTTATTTTCAAAATTCAATTTAATTGAAAATTTTCAAATATGGAGTATCATTTAAATCCAAACATTTAAATCTAAACATTTAAATCCAAACATTTAAATCCAAACATTTTAAATCCAAACATTTAAATCAAATTATTAAATCATTTAATAATTATTTCTACATATTTAAATGTATTAAATGAATCATCAGGTTATAGAAGTCGCAAAAGAAGCTAATGCTCACGAATTTATAACGCAATTTCCAAAAGGATATGAGACTCAAGTCGGAGAAAGGGGTGCGCAATTATCCGGTGGACAAAAACAGCGTATCGCCATTGCCAGAGCCTTACTAAAGCGGCCATCAATTTTAATATTGGATGAAGCTACGAGGTATATATATAAAATTAATTAAATATCAATAATACAATTTTTTTATTTTTATTTAGTTTTACTCGAATTTCTGATCCTCAAATTTAATTAAGCGATCTCTCATACGAGATGACGATCCATATTTCGAAATGTCTTTAATATGCACTATATTTATATATAATATATTATTTAGTAAATGTTACTAAATAACAATAACTAACAAAATAATAATTAATACTATAATGAATATACGTAAATTATAAATGATAAATATAATGGCGTTTGTTTTCATTTAAACTGACAATGAGTGGAGACAATTCATTTTTCATTTCAGAATAATTCAAGAATTTCTTCTTACTTTGATAATTACTCGTTATTTGCACCAATAATGCATGCAGCGTAACGAGCTAACGCTTTTAATTATAAATATAATATTATAAATTAATATTTTAATATATAAAACTATAGTGCATATATATAAATTACGTGTCACGTTGTTTGTCCGCAATGGATTCCTAAACTATTGAATCGATTTTAATCAAATTTTGCACACAATGTGCAGTTTCATCCAACTTGAAATATAGGATAATTTCTATCTCAATTTATAATCGCAATATTATTTGTTTATTAACAAAGAGTCATGATTATCTCTGTTAGTTCGATAAGATTCTAATAGATGGTGGTATAAGGTAAATCTTTGACTTAAAGACGTGTGTATCGGACTGATTGTGAGCCACAGCAACGCGTGGCGGGACACCTCTAGTATATATATATAAATTATAAGTTATAAATATAATATTTAAATATATACAAAATTAATATTTAAATATATAAAACTATAGTGTGTATATATATAAATTATAAATTATAAATATAATATTTAAATATATACAAAATTAATATTTAAATATATACAAAACTAATATTTAAATATATAAAACTATAGTGTGAATATATATAAATTACAAATTATAAATATACTATTATATTATAATTTATAATTATTTTGTTTAATTAATATATTATTTATTATTATTATTATTATTAACTGGCATTAGAGGAACTCAAAAGTTCATTGCTGCAAATACGAAATCCCGCCATTGTTCCCGTCCCTAATATATTATTTATTAATTTAATATTATTTAATATACTTTAATATATGATTATTTTTTCAATATTTAATATACATATCTATTTATTATTATAATTATTAATAATATCATATTTATTTTTAAATATATATAGCGCATTGGATTACGAGAGCGAAAGGGTGGTTCAAAAAGCATTGGAAAATGCTACCAAGGGTAGAACTGTATTAGTTATTGCCCATAGATTAAGTACAATTAAATCTGCTGATATTATCGTCGTATTGAATCGTGGTGTTATCGTTGAGGTATGTTTCTAAATCATTCCAAATTTTATATTTATATAAAATATTATATTGATCTTGTATATGTATGTGATCATGTATATATTGTAGCTGTATTTTTTGTATTATCATGGAGGTAGGTTTTAATGCAAAAACAATCAATGTTTCATGTGAATGATCATTTTATTAATCATTTTATTAATCATTTTGTTAATCATTTTGTTAATCATTTTGTTAATCATTTTATTAATCATTTTATTAATCATTTTGTTAATCATGTTATTAATCATTTTGTTAATCATTTTATTAATCATTTTATTAATCATTTTATAATATACTACATCGAGGTTGATTTTATTTTATTTAATTTTATTGTTTTTTTTTGTTTTTACATCATAATGTAATTTTCACTAATATTACTACATTATCATATATATATATATATATTTATACTACATAGTTACATTTACTAAATGATTTTTTTTGGTTTTCTTTTTTGCAGATGGGCACCCACTCACAATTAATTCAAAATAAAGGAACGTATTATAAATTAGTAAATGAACAGGAAACGGAAAACAATAATAATAATAATAATAATAATAATCTATTGTAGAAAAATTTTGTCAATTAATGATATTTAAATTAAATTATTAAAACAAACAAATAAATAAATAAAAAGTATTTTATTTTGTAATTATTAATTAATAATCCTTTATCAGTGTGTTTCTATTTATACGTGAGGACAATTTTTCTATGAGAGGACAAGTTTTTCAAATCACATTTTCAAATTAAGAAAATAAGGTTGTATTGTGTGATAGTTTCATATTAATATTAATAACTTTCAAAATAAGAAACAAATATAATAATCACATGATTAAAATCATTATACTTATGATAATGCAAATATACATATTGATTCTAATCACGTTTATGTAATTTATATTTATACGTGATGATGTACAAAGAAACAAAAAGAAAAACCATTTCAGAAACCAACAAATTCAAATTAAAAAAAAAAAAAACGAAGAAATTATTTAATAATGTTGACATTGATTTTTAAAATAAGTAATATATAAAAAAAAAAAAAATAGTTATAAATAAAATAGCACGTACGTACATATCGATAAGATTGTAGTATTGTTTTCAGTCACAGTGTTCTTATTCATTTTTTCAATGAACAAAATCAGAACAATTATTGAATTAAAATAAATAAGAAGATGATGATGATGATGATAATTGACAATAGTTGAATTTTCCTTAATATTAATATAAAAAAATGAATTTTATATTACTCTCATTGCAAGTAATAAAAAAAATAGCCAAATAGTTACAAGTATTAAATATATGAAAACACAAAGATACATGTAATATCTCTCAATATAATCAGTGATTATATTAATCACTTTTATTGTTTATAATAACGTGATAATTTTCTATAAACAAAAGAACAATAATCATAAGAAAAATCTTCTTGATTTATATTTTTATGTATATATATATATATATATATATATATATATATATATATTTATATATACTTTTTTGGTTTACTTTTTTCACCTTCGTTTTTTTCTTGTGAACGTAATTTGTTTTTATTTTCTCACACGGTATGTTCCCCAAATTTGATAAATCTGTACGTATCGTCTTCCTCCTCTTTGCGTTTTCCATATTTCATATAACCATAATCAAAATCTACGTTTTGCAGTTGTTTACTCGAATCTGAATGATCACCGTCTCCAGTTTTTTCATTTCTAGTGTATCTACAATAATTGATTTATTTAAAGTTTACACCATCGATGATAATCAATAATTTCTATGAATTAATTTAAATGAAATAAAATACATTATCATCACACCAAAAAAAAAAAAAAAAAGAAACAAACAATACAATGTAGAAACAAAGTTGTAGAGAAATATACAAATGATTCCCATGAATATATATTTGAATATGAGACGTATGAGGGGATTACCCAAAATGTATTGGACGATTTCTTTGTATACGTTGTAAAGATATTCTGGATACAGATGCATCTTGTCCATGAAGTAACCATATGGTTGCAAACATGCTACAGAGCACGAAAATCAGTTTCATAGCTATAATATATAATTGAAATATTATAATGCATTTTTCTATGAATGACAATGTTAATGATTTAATTAATAACAATTATGATATGACAATGTTAATGATGAATACAACTATGATGATAATGAGTGAATAATAGAATGATAATAGTGTTATTAAAAAAGAAAATGATTTATATAGTTTGAATTATTATTTGAAATTAAATATATTGATATAATTGATAATGATTATGATATGAAGATGCTAATGATGATGAATGATTATGATGATAATGAGTGAATAATAGAATGATAATAGTGTTATTAAAAAAGAAAATGATTTATATAGTTTGAATTATTATTTGAAATGAAATATATTGATATAATTGATAATGATTATGATATGAAGATGCTAATGATGATGAACGAATATGATGATGATGATTGAATAACAAAACTAAATAGAATTTATATTTTTAATTAGATTTGTGATTGATAATAATGTAATTAAGAAAGAAAATGATTTATATAGTTTGAATTATTAATTGAAATAATATATTTTGATATAATTAATAACAATTATGATGATGATGATTGAATAACAGAATGAAATAGAATTTATTTACTATTTTTAACTTATTCTAATAGGATTTGTGATTGATAATTGTGTTATTAAGAAACGAAACGTTTCACATACTTTGAATTATTATATTAAATAAAATCTTTTGATATAATTAATAACAATTATGATATGACGATGCTAATGATAATGGACGATTATGATGATGATGATTAAATAACAAATTTGTGATTGATAATAGTGTTATTAAGAAACGAAACGATTTACATACTTTGAATTGTTAATTGAAATAAAATATTTTGATATAATTAATAAGGATTATAATATGATGATGCTAATGATGATGAACAATGATGATTGAATAACAGAATGAAATAGAGAAATCAATTATTATTTTTAATTTAATCTAATATTATTTGTGTGATTTATAAAAGTGTTATTATAAAAACGATTCACATTCTTTGAATTATTACTTGAAATGATTAATTTTGATATAATTAATAACGATTATGATATGACGGTGCTGCTGATGATAATAATGATGATGATGATTNTCTTTGAATTATTACTTGAAATGATTAATTTTGATATAATTAATAACGATTATGATATGACGGTGCTGCTGATGATAATAATGATGATGATGATTGAATAACAAAATGAAATAGAATTCATTTACTATTTTTAATTTA